TCCACCTTAGCTAACAGAGGGCTTTGTGCCCTATCAATTATATCCTATTGATTCATATCTTAACGATTTGATGCCAATAAGGAGCGTATTGGCTCTAGCCATAACCGGTATATCGTGGTGCCATTTGGCGGCAAAACCACTCAGTTCAGAGGGCCCCAAGTCATAACCGTTTATCCTGCGGTGCCATTTGGTGGCAAAATTGGCAGTTAAAGGACACGTACCACGTCCTTACTGGCAGGGGATTGTTTGAGAAAGAATCCTAGTGATATTTTTGACTAGACATTAGCTCTTTGTGAGCTGAAGTAAATTTTGATTTGTCCACCCCGGCAAACTGTTGCGGAGGGTGGATGAATTTTTCTTTAAGTGTGAATGGATTTATTTCAATTTTAAATATTTTTGGATTTTGATGATTTTGGGATTTTTTTGGGTTTTTGGATTTTGGTGCTTGAAAAGCATTTGAAATTGTTTGTGAACCCATCCGGTTGAGATTTATTATTCGACGCAGTCATCATCGGGGTGTTAGTAACTCTGTCTGACTGTCGAAAGAGGATCGAATTTCATATGTTTTATGCCCATACTGGTGAATTCGTATTGTTATAGACCTTTGAAGTCCTAATATGAATGTATTAAAAAAATTATACCGGTCACCATCACCATATACTTGTTTGATTGTTCGAACCCTGTCGACTTCTATTAACCCATATAGAAGGATCGTGTGTGAACTTGAATTCACTTATTGACCCACAAAGCTTCTCTAGATGCCACGTGTGTACCAATAACATGCTCGACGGGGCCCATGCAGGTGTTTGGGGGGTATTTTGTAATTATTTGTTGAACCTTGTCGACTCCTATTTACCCACTTAGGAGGATCGGATTCAAATTTAATAACCCACGCAGTATTCCTAGACGTCATGTGTGTACCAATAACACGCTCACTAGGGCTCACACGGGTTTCATGATTACTTTTACCCCTTTTAGTGTACCTATGTGTATACAAACTACGGTGCACGTGCAGGGGTATTTTGAAAGTATTTGTAGATGCCTTCAGTCTGCTTATACGAATGTTGTAGATCCGGTGGCGTGGCGTAACAACTTCTGAATAGAGTTATTTGCTGCTTCGTACAGGTAGACTATTGTGCAGTAATTGTTGCTTTTTGAAAGTGGATCATAGTGCACCAACTAATCTACTGCCTTACATTTGAAGTGTAGTCGTTTAGTATTTTGCTTATGGACAATAGATGGGGTATATGACGGGTCTCCTACAATGACTCGTAGGATCTTGCATTTGATACAATCATTTTTGTATTTTGTTTGTAAACATTATATTGGGTGTAGAACAGATCTCCTACAATAGTTCATAGGAGCTTGCATTCACTGTGATATTCTCCCTTGTAGGTAGAAGATCCATTAAGCCTTTCATACATCTTCCGCCATAGCTTGTAGATAAGACTGATGTATTTCAACATTGATAGAAAGAGGGTTGTATCCTTCATAATTCTCTTACCTCACTTGTGGGCATACCACATTGATTTTGTATAAATATCACTTGTAGGAACTTCATGGCAGTCATTGCATTTATTTTATGTTGTGCATCATCATTTGTAGGAAGAATTATTGTTTGCATGTTGATGTTTGCATTTTGTAGCATAAGAGCCCTCCATCATTTATTCTGAAGCTTCTTGGAAGTATTATGGCTTAGCAAGCATTGATGGTGACTCCATTACTCTTGATGAATCTTTAACTACCATAGGGATTTTTCTATTCATTACAACTCATCTAAATTTTCTTGCAAAAACATTGCATTCCTTCATTCAATTGAGATGATCATTGTCGGTTAATTATAATTGCTCAAATAAGCTTTACACCAAGGCTTGTAATGGGTGATTGTTTGCTTGCTTGGATGAAATTTAGATGGATCACCCTCTCTGATAGGATTTGCAACTCCTAATGGAATGATAATTCCTTAATCTTTATTGAGAGTTTATTGCTATGATCCAAACTCAAACTTCGCTATAATTCAAGTTTCATGTACAAGTTCAAGTCTTCATAGTTAAATGGAAAGTCTTTGCTTGTGTTCAGATCTTTGTTCATTTGATCTTTAAATGCAAGTTCAAGTTCATCGGATGCTTAAATCAAGTTCTATGCATATGATTCAAGTTCTTACTTGAGTTCAAGTAACCAACTCAAGTTATCGTTCTTGTTTTAGTTCAAAGTGCAAATTCAAGTTATCTTGTAGTTGTTCAAAACTACAATCTCAAGTCAAAGTTCTTTGTATTCATTCTTTTGAGTTTAGTCCGAGTTCAAAATGAGTCATTGCTGAAGTTCAAATGAGAGTCCAAGTTCATATTCATTTCAATTAGAATTGAATTCATTTGGGTTCAAGTTCATTTAAGTAAATTGAATCAAGTTCACAAGTCCGAGTCCACTGTTCTATCAAGTTCAAAGGTTCACAAGCTAAGTCCAAGTTTGATCATCCCTCGAGTTCAATCAAATCCAACTGTAGCATTGTGTTCACCCGAAATTTTGGCAGCCTTCTAGCATCTCCCCTATTTAGGAGAAAACTACGAAAAACTGGGCCTTTCCCATCACACTAAGAAAACGTGTATGGTAGAAGACCTTTTTTGAGGACACCGCGGCCATGTATTTTTTTATCCCCCAACATGTTAAGAAAAGCGTGTATGGGTATTTTGAAAATATTTTGCAAGAAAAGCAATTATTTCCCCGCAAGCGGGTACTTATGGGTATCCCCGCTTCATCGTACACATCGCACCGAGCTCCCTTTCCACCACACTAAAAAAAGTGTGTATAGGTGGGGTTTCCAAGGCGATACAAACTTCGAAGAAGGTATTTTAGGTGATTACCCGCTTCGTCGCAAGCGTTGGGATGCACGTCCTCCCACCACGCTAAGAAAAGCGAGTATAGGTGGTCGTTTTGTCTCGACGCAGGCATTGAAATCAGGTTTTTGGAGTTTTAGGGTTTAGGAGTTATACCTTCGCGGGCTTTGATGGTGGAGGCTCGTGGACCGAGGGAGAGAGAGCAAGCATTTACTCTTCTCTTCTTATCATTAATTATATTTAAAAAAATTTTTTTAATTAAAAATAATAAAAATAATAATTGAATAAAATTTCCCTCCCCCTCTTCACTGTTCTTGGTTTGGGGATTCACGGGATTTGGCTGAAGTTGCGCACGTATGGGAGAGAGTTACCTTCATGGCAAGGGAGCTCCCGTGGTTGCTTCGATCAAAATGCCACAACTTCTAGTCTGATAGGAAGGGAGAGCATCGAAGGAGGAGGAAAGCGTCCGACTGGAGTCGGAGGAGGTGACGAGTGGTGGAGGCTTCGGGTTGAGGGCTCTCGATCGGCAAGGTAGGGAGAATGATCTCTCTCTCTCTCTCTCTCTCTTTCTCTCTCTCTATCTATGAAATGAAAGGAGACGAAGGTGGAAGAGCTCGGGAGGAGTTCAGATCAGCAGAAGATTGGAAGAGTGGCAGGGGGTTTCGCATGTGTAGAAGGAAGTAGCGAATGAGGAGCTCGGCTTCTATTTAACGACGAATGTGGTTATTCGATCGAGGCAACGTCGCAGGAAATCTGGGAAGAGACACGAGTCCAGCGGCTCCAGCAGGATTTCAGGCAGGATTTAAAGGATTTCGACGGCTTCTCGATGGATACGAGGATTCCAACCGAGATTTCAGCATAAATTCTGGATCCGACGGTCAAGGTATGATTTCATTTTTGTTTCTTTTGGATATTATACAGAGGTCAACAAATGCCCCCCCAACAAATGTGATTTGCATCCAGAGCGAATCATGTTTGTTGTATGCTGCTTGACCTTGTGGATCTCTAGATATTTGTTCTAGATGTCAAACAAAACTTCCATTTAGTGGATCTCCAAAAATTTGTTTGGATGTCATACTGAGATTCATTCTATAGATCTCCAAGAGTCCATCTTCGTGCCTTCATGGATCCTTAGATTCATGTGTAACCTTCAGTATAGTTGATATATTTTCTCTTGCTCAAGTAGAGATCCTCGGGGTAGTGATAGAGTACTTTATATTTAGATCCTTAGAGCTTCACTTTGTAGATTGATGCTAGTGGATAGTATTATCATCTCTTGCTCTACTTTTGAACCATTGTCACTTTTGCTTATAGCATTTTAGTATCATTTAAAATTTATTTGATCTTTGTAGATTCATTAGTCGGTGGGACTTTGCTGTCTTAGGCTCTCCACAGTTGCTTTTGTGTTCAGGTACACTTTCTCCCCTTTTCCTTAGTTTTGATTTTGCGCTTTGTGTGAACTTTGGGATAATTTTCTTCGGTCCTTTGCTTTGTGCTTTGGCGGACTTGTTGAAAAAAAATTCCTTCGATACTCGCTTTGTGCTTTATGGATTTGTTGAATGATTTGTATGTTCTAGATTCAGTTGATAGTACCGAACGTATGTAGTATTTTGATTCTTAACCACTTGAGAAGACTTTAATCTGAATCACTTGAGTTCATCAGATTGGGAGAGCTAGAATTTGATAGCTCTTTGTCCTCTGGTTGCTGAGATTGGAGTTCCTCTACTACAGCCTTTATTATGGCTTGTTGAGTAGATGGAGCTGTAAGTGATCCGGACATATTTGAGCGTGTTGAATTCGACCTTTTACACTCATTCAGGCTTTAGACTTGAGCTATGGGACTAGTTTTGCTGAAGTTGGAAGATTTGGAGTTCTCCTTTATGGTTGAAGATTTTGAGCCTACGAATATTCGATGATTGTTCGAGACTCATCCTTCCACTGGAACTTTGATTCTCCAGTCATTTTGAGAGAATTCAGTATACTATGATCACTTGAACCTGCCGAGTCAAATTAGCCTTTGTTCTTCCTACAATACCTGCTGATGGGTTGATGAAGTGGGGGTTCTGCTACTACGGCCTTTCTTATGGCTTGTTGAGTAGACAGAGCTTCCAGCAATCATACTATATTTGGGCATGTTGGATTCGACCATTTACACCCATTCGAACCTTAAGCTTCATGCTGTCGAAATACTTCAAGCTTCTTCGGCTCAATTTTGTATGAGTGTGCAGTCACAAAAGTCTCTTTCTTAACTTTTGAGTCTTTATTCATTGGAGAAGGTGATGTCTCTAGCTTTTGAAAGATCACCTGCATATACTTTGGAAAACAAGTATTTATATTCTTTAGCATGAAATAACATTTGAATTGATAATTTTAAATATTTATTCGGGGATCTTGGCATGCAGTGCGATATCGACCCAAATAAATATTTAAAATGCCCCTGTCTCACAGGGACATTTTAGAATTGAATAAATTTGATATTTGAGATTTTAAATATTCATTTGGGGATCTCGTCGTGCAGCGTGATGTTAACCCAAACAAATATTTAAAATGCCCCCTATCTCATAGGGACATTTTGGATAGGCTTTGTATCTTTGAGATTTTAAATATTTATTCAGGGATCTCGGCATATAGTGCGATGTCGACCTGAATAAATATTTAAAATGCCTCAAATCTGATGGAGTTTTTTGAAATGTATTCTTGTTATACAAGAGAATTTCAAAATATGAATGTGAGCATGCACTAATAACTATACACATAAAACTTTGATAATTATAAAGTACATTAGTCATGAAATTCTCATGCATGATACTTCTTTAAATGTCGGCCGTTGATAGGTGGCATAGGCCTCTGACCGTTCATATCGATCAACTGATATGCTCCTCCTTGGTACACCTTCTCGATGACGAAAGGGTCTTCCTAGTTGGATACAAATTTTCCATTGATTTTTCGGTGTGGGATGATTGGTCTTCTCAGCACCAGGACCAATCTCCTTCTTGAAATGACCGAGTACACACCATATGATCGAAGGATTTTGTCATTCTTCCTCGGTAGATTTCCAAGTTTTGTTAAGCTTGTAACCTGAGTTCATCAAGTGCGTCGAGCTCTTCCATTCTTAAGCGGGCATTTTGCTCTTGAGTGAGATCATTCTGAATTGCTATCCGGAGTGACGGAAGTTCAATCTCTAATGATAATACGGCTTCAACACCGAACACCAATGAATAAGGAGTGGCTTTGATTGGCGTCTTGTAGGTTGTACAGTATGCCCATAGTGCTTCTGCCATCTTCGTAAGCCACTCTCTTTTGTTCTTGGTGAGGATCTTTTTCAACAATTTCACCAGCATCGTGTTGAAGGCCTCTGCCAATCCATTTGCCCTTGGATTGTATATTGACGAGTACCGCCAATCAATCTTATTCCTATCAATAAACTTGTAAATTTTTGTACTCTCACCAAAAATGTAAACAACATTGTGGGTGAAAAAGTTGATCACATGCTCGAATGTGACCTCTCTGAACAGAGCTGCTTCTGCCCACTTGGAAAAGTAGTCCATCGCTACTAGAATGAAACGGTGTCCTGCTGATGACGGCGGATCTATTGGCTCGATAATATCAGTACCCTAGCATTCAAATTGTCAGGATGCTATCGTTGGGTGCAAAGGATTTGGAGGCTGGTATATAACATCACCGTGAATCTGGCATTCGTGGCATCTCTTAGTGTGGTCGATATAATCTTTCACCATGGTCGGCCAATAATAACCCATTCTCTTGATTTTAGTAGTCATCTTGGGACCTGACTGATGAGCTCCGTAAAGCCCTTCGTAGACTTCTACTACCACTTTATCAGCTTCCTTGCTCCCTAGGCACCTTAGCCACATTTGATCAAAATCTCATATATACAACATGTCATTGACAAATACGTATCGCAACGCCCTTTTTGAATTTGTGCAGCCGTAGACTTTTCTACTGGGAGTTTGTTTTCTTTGAAGTAGTCAATGAATGGTTTCCTCCAATCATTTTCGACTTCAATATCTAAACAATGCCACCACGATTCTGAAGCTTGACTAGCTTTATGTCTCTTGGCCACATGATAATCTTCCGGATAATTTTCCATAATGATTTGATGGAGAGGTTGAGGGTCAACTGGGGTTTCATCCTGCTGACTTGAATCTGGAATTCCCTCCGCCTTCGGGAATTGTAACAGAGCGGGTTCTAAGATCTAACGATTATAAACTCTGATGAATATAGGTTTCTCCTCATTAGAATGTGCCATTTCCTTGACCAACTTGGCCAAATAATCTGCTTTGGCATTCTATCCTCAAGGAATTTAAACTATTTTAACATTTGGCACCTGCTTTAGGAGCTCAAGGGTTCACCGGTGGTAGTGAGCCAATTCAACCTTAGAAATCTTGTAAATGCCCAAGACTTGATTTATCACCAGTTGAGAGTCGCCGAAAATTTGAATATTTTGAATTTTAACGTCAATTGTAATCTCCAACCCTACTATTAGAGCTTCGTATTCGGCTTCATTGTTGGTCCGAGGTTCAGTAAGACTGAATGCTAACCTCATTATGCCTCCTTCAGGTGGTATGAGAACAACATCGATGCCGGCTCAGGCCCTTGTAATATTTAGAGGTCGGGCTGGTTTAATTGATGATGCTTCATCGAAGCACATCTCCTAAATGGTAGCTTTTCATTTTCATTAACTTGCATGATTTTTTCGTCAGGCAAATCATCGTTTAGTGGAGAGTCTTCCGGGATAGGATGTGCGGCAAAAAAATCTACCAAGGATTGTCGTTTTATTGCCTTTTATGAATGTATGTGATATCAAACTGTAATAACAATACTGCCCACCTGGCTAGATGACCTGTCAACGCTGGTCTTATCATTAAGAACTTCAGTGGATCGATCTTTCATATCAGCATGATTTTGTGGGATAACATATAGTGGCGAAGTTTTCGAACTACAAAAATCAGCGCCGGACAATGCTTTTCAATAGGAGAATAACAGCTTTCTGCTCAAATCAACCTTCGACTGATATAGAAGAGCATATTTTCCTTGCCTTCTTCATTATTCTGGGCCAATAGTGCTCCGAGGGACTCTTCTAGTGCAGCCGTATATAGTATAAGAGGCTTCCCCGAAATTGGCGTTGTGAGAATGGGCTGATGCAACAGATATCTTTTGATGCTGTCAAATGCTTCCTGACATTCTACATCCAATTTGAAAAGGACATCTTTCTTCATTAGCTTTGAAAATGGCTGGCACCTACCCGATAGTTTTGATATGAATCTCCGAATGAAAGCCAGTTATTCTTGTAGTGAGCGAAAATGTCGAAGGTTCTTTGGGGGTGGCATCTCTGTGATCATCTTAATTTTATTGGGGTCGATCTCTATGCCCCAATGACGAACAACATACCCTAAGAATTTGCCGGAGGAGACCCCAAAAGGACATTTGAGAGGATTCATCTTCAGATCAAACTTTTTGATTCTCTCAATTACAATTCTGAGATCTTTTAAGTGATCATTTCGGCAAAGAATTTTAACAACAAGGCCATCTACATATCACTCAACCTTCTAATGTATCAAATCATTAAATATATGTGCCATCGCCCACTGGTAGGTGACACCAGCATTCTTTAGGCCAAAAGGCATGACCGTATAGCAGAATATGCCAACGGGCAGTCTCATTGACATGTGCTTTTCATCTTGAGGAGCCATCTTAATTTGATTATATCCAGATGATTCATCCATAAATGTGAACATATCATAGTTGGAAGTGTTTTCCACTAGTAGTTCTGATACAGGGAGTGGAAAGTCATCTTTTGGGCAAGCCTTGTTGAGGTCCCGGAAGTCGATACAGATACGAATCTACCCACTCTTCTTCTTCACTAGAACAATATTGGCGATCCAATCAGCATACTTTTCTTCTCGAATAAAGCCCGCATCTATAAGCTTCTTCATCTTTGCAATCACCTGCTCTTCAATCTCCAATCTCATTCTCCTTGGAGCATGTTTGATAGGTGCTGCATTTGATTTGATGGCCAATCTGTAAACTGATATATCAAGGGATAAGTCAGGCATCTCAGCATATGTCCAGGCAAAACAGTCCCTGAATTCACAGAGAAGTTCTTTTATTTCTTCTATTTGCTCCTTGGGTAGGAGAGAACTAATAAAGGTTGGGTGAGGGTATTCTTCAGTTCTAAGTTGAATTCTTTTAGCTCGTCCATAGTGGCTGTCTGTCCACCATCTTCAAGTTCTTCTGGTGCAGGCTTGACTTCTACGGGCTGCTCATCATAATCATCAGCTTCGTATGTCTCTTCAGCACCACCATCATCATATTCAATTTCCATGCATGTGATTATCCGACAAGTCTCTTTCCGAAGGAATTTTTGTTTGATGAATCTGATACCTTTATATGCATCTGTATCCTTCTGACGTAATGGACGTGGATTCCTTCCATACCAGAGGCCCAGGCTTGTACGAAGTTGTCACTTGGTGGTAGGAACATTGATTTGCTTCCGAAGCATTCTTTGAATATGTTTGGTGTTGAACCTAGGTAATCTTGTATGTAGCAACTCTTCAGAATGGAGGAGCATACAACACCAGTCATTATTATCTTATTCACATACTCCAATAGAATATAATACATTCCCTGGCACAGTCCCATTTTTAAGTGGAGGCAGATAGATGGTGGCGAGTTCTTCAACTTTATGCACCTCGCATTGAATGATTTCCTTGAAGTGTTGTAAGGGAACACGAGTGACTACAAGTATACTATCTGAAATTGATAGGCTGTCTATTCTTCTAGAGAACACATTATGCACTGTATTCATGTAGATGGAGTCGTAGTCATAATCATCATTTGAATATTCGACCTGCCTACTCCATTCGTCCATGGACTGGCATACTCTTCGAGATTTGGCGGGAGTAACATCATCCTCATCCGTATCACTCCCAAGATGAGGTACATATTTCTTTTATTTTGGAATGGTCGGTGCTTTGGGAAGAGTCGACGCTGCCTTCTTTCTCCCCACCTGCTTTTTCTCACCTTCCCGATCAGGTCACTTTACAGCTTTTGAGTTTGATGCTCTAGCCTCGAGAGAACTCGAAGACTTTTGCTTCTTTGGCATGAAGTACCGTGTATCTTCATAAACTGTTGCTTCATGAAATGTGAAGGGTTGGATGTCACCAGAGATCCTGAACTCTTCTCCATCTTTGAGATATTTAACAACACCATATTCATGCAACCAGGGACGACCTAGTAGCACTTTGAATAAAGTATCCTCATCAATCACATGGAATTTAGCTTCTATGTGGAGCTCTCTACATACAAGAGGGAGTATGAATGATCCGAGGGTGGTCTTCTATCCTTTCTCGTTGAAACCATGCACCATCAGTTTATCTGGCCCGAGGTGTTCCACATCAAGGCAGAGGGATATCAATGCTTTCAAGCTTATCAGATTTATGGAGGATTCAGGATCAATCAGGATTCGACTGATGAACAGCTTATCACTCTCTGCAATAATATATAGAGGACGGTTATGGTATGCAGTTCCAAGCATCGTGTCTTCTTTGGAGAAGGTAATGAATGGCTCATTACGAGCTTGTAGAATTTCAGTCAAATTACATTCAATAAAATACGCCTTGTATCTTTTGGGATCTTTGAGAGCCTGAATCAGAGTCTCCCAAAGGTCTATAGACATTACCAACGCATCGTATATGCTGAGTTGTGCTAGAATTTTTCTCAGATGGGATAAAATATTATAATCTATCCCATTGGCTGAAGTGTTCTTTTTCTTGGGAACTTCAGGGATATTATCATCGTTGATAACTATCTCTTTCTCCTTATCTTTATTGGAGACCCCTTTTTTCGGTGGAGGAGATAGTGTCTTGCCGCTTCTTAACTGCACTTGAGCAATCTCCTCCGCTTCAGAGTCATTTAATGAAGCATTTTCTTTAGAATCAGTCATTGTTGCGTCTAGAGACTCGTCTGTTGATTTAGAATCACCACCCAGGTTTACATGTCCCATCCGAGACGCTATGCTAGGGTCTGATTCATCTTCCTCTGGAAATACAAGTCCTCCTCCGAACTGTAATCCATTGGCAACACCATCATATAGGATTCATAGGGTACTTCTTCACTGTATTCTTCTTTTGTCAAGGTATTCGACGCCACCGAGATGACCCGACATACTTCTGTTGGAAGATAATTCTCATCATCTTCTTTGGCTTTATCAATCTTAAGCTCTGACATGAAGTTACAGATCTTGAGAGGTCGCCTCACAGTTTGGTAGTATTCATCCAAACTGTCGATAGCCCTTTGGGTTGCGATCATTTTCTACTTGGGCTTCTTCAGTTTAGTCTTCCTTTTGGGAGATTTCACCTTTCCAGACTTCGAAGTGCCATCTTGATTGAAAAATTATTTTGAAGCAAAAGGTCGTACCACCGGCAGTGCCTTCATATTTAATACTGGCTCCGTAAGAGATTTTCACTTCACCCCTGGAACTCCTTCGAGCTATTTTAACATTTTCACAGTCTTCTTAGAGGCCGCAGTC